CCCTCTCCCTCTCCCTCCCCCCTTACTCCCCCCTCTTCCTCTCTGGGCTTCTGTCCTTCCTTTCATTCTTCCAGTTTTCCAAAAAATTTCTAAATATCCAACCAAAGTCTCTTCCTGAGCATGCAGAGGACACATAGCTTCTATAGGTCACATTTTCCTTCATTGGAAAAAGCATATTTGAAACAAGTAGAAAAATGAACCAAGTAGAGGACCCCCCTGTCCACAGGGAGTGTGTCCCAGGCCCCGGCACACCTGCGGCCACCAGTAGTGCTGAGTCCTGTAACTCAGCACAAATCTGAGTGATGGCAGAACTAGCCCCGTTTCTCCTCTTCAAAACTTCGTGGTTAGAAAATGTGTTCTCATTGTAGATGTTGACATCCTCAGTGTATGGAATTTTTCTTTCTTTAAGTCAAGAGCTTTTGTTTTCTCATTTTGAAGAGCACTTTATTGTTCTCTCTGGTGTGTCCAAATTGCAGCATCCCTACTGATGTGCACTGGGGCTCTCAGTGAGTGCGCCGTGACTTGATTCTGATGCTGCAGCACTGCAAGGTTGCCTGACCTTGAGATGGCTCTGGGTGTCTTACAGCAGGTAGTGTACACAGTGGGGATGCACCGCCCAGAGCCCGGAGGGACAGGGTGCAGCGGGATGGAGCCAGATTTTATCATGCTCTGCAGAGCAGTGCAAGATTAAAGGTTATGAGTTGTTTATTTCTAGGATTTTCCATTTCATGTTTTGGACTGTGGTTGATTTTGGGAGACTGAAGCTGTGTAGAATGAGAGACTCTGCAGACACTTTTCATATTTCACTGTAATAACCCCCATTGCCCACATCTGCATGAATTGTAAAGCTTTAGAATGAATATGAATGCTAACCTCAAACCCACTTTACCCATCAAGTAAATCTTAATTAAAAGAAAGATGTCACTGGTGTGTCTGTTTGAAGTTTATGCTGTTTTAAATCTTAGCGGAAATGCAGGCCCTGAAAACAGAAGAGCCTCTGCCTAGTGAGTCTGTGCAGGGCTGACTCTGGTTTATAACAGTGCCCCAGTGTAGCTCATAAGTGTGACAGGATTCATCTTTCCCCACCCTTCGTGGTACTGCTCCAGGTAAATATCAGGTGTTTCTACTTCTCCTTGCAGCACGTCAGCACGCTTGTATGCCCTGTTTCTTCTCAGTGCTCACCTAGGAGGCCAGTTAGGGAAGCATCTGATCTCCACAAGGCCAACTTCACTGAAAGGTTTATTCAGGGTTGTTTAGTTAGTAGATGTTGAGATGTGGTTTGAACCCGGGCTTCGAAGCCCCGCCTCAGCCCCCTCCCAACCTTCACTGTGGCTGCTGCCTCACACTGGCTGATGAGAACTGACTGTTGGACATACATTGGAAAGAAGCTTTCACAAATGGTGCTGGACATCCACATCTAGAAAAATGAAACTGGATTCCTGTATCTCATCCTACAGAAAAATTAATTCAGATTAATAAAAAACCTGGGTATAAGACATGAAACTTTGAAACTTCTAGAAGAAAATAGGGAAAACAATCAAAAGTTGCAGGTGCCAGTAGAAACTTCCTGAATACGACCCTGTAATTCAACAATTGATCACAGGTATCAGCAAATGGGACAACACTGAATTTAAAAGTTTCTGTACAGCAAAGGAAACAACCAGCAGAGTCCACATGATATAGGGTACCACATAATCCATATAAGGGAAATTTATAACTCCTAACCTGCTAGATATCTGAAACATGAGTTGGTATTCTCTAAAATTGAAGGATGAATTCTAGGAACGATGGTTACAAGTAGGAATTATTTGAGAGAAAGATAACTTCTATCTAAGAGGGACTAGAAAGTGGGTTGCCTACCCATCCCACTTCTCAAAGGTGTTTTACAGAGCAAAACCGTAAGGTGAGTTGGGTACAAAGAAAGACAAAAACAAAAGACCCAATGGAAAATTACAAGGTGGGCATGAGACGGGACAAAACCATGATCAACCAATAAGATTACAAGTACAGACACCCAGATGGGAAATGGGCTAGGGAGATTGACACATGTTTAGAGCATGGGTCACTGCTATTCATCTCTAGATGAAGTAGGTAAGTGCAGTACCTCTTCTCTTTTTATAATGCTAACCAGTGAATGTGTCTCAATTGTTTTTTTATGCCATGGGCCGGCCTTTGTCTAACTGCCTTAAAGTAATTCTGAGTAACTTAGCTCTCCGCAGTACTGCTACTTCCTTTATTATCTTTACCCTTAGCGTGTTCCTGAGCTGTGACACAGTGTAGACACATCCTGATACACTGCATTTCTTACATAGGTGGCTGTACTCCAATCCCAGAATCAGACCTGGAGGAGAGATCAGCAGAGCAAGATTCCACAGAACTGTTTACCAACCACAGACTCCTCGCTGCAGGGCCTCCCAGCCCTGGTAAGAGAACGGAGGCCTCCTAGGGCTCTGTCAGGAAGTGAGCACCCGTGGGTTTGCGCACCAGGGAGTGGTCTGCAGACTGCCACCTTCTGACTTCCTCCTCCTTCCTCCTGTATTAGCACAGCTGACTGGTGACGTGTGTCCTCCTGTCATCACTCAGACTCACTCTCCCTCCCTTTTCCAGAGGATTCTGCTCTCCAGGGACTTTTGGAATAGTTGGAAGAGCTGTCTGGTTGAGGGAAAGCTGCCTTCCCAAGGCTGAGCCGCATGAACCTCATGCAGCTGGTGTGGGGCGTCACGCTGCTCAGGGCTCACCCCAGAGACAATGCTCCGTGGAGATGGACCCTGCTGTCCGCTTTCCGGAGAACCTGGAGCTGAGACCCCAGAGTTGTCTCTGCTTGCTGGGAGGCATATTACTTCCTTTTTATCTTTGTGCCCAGTGTCACAGGATACAGTGAGATGACATAGTTTGGGAACAGACTGTAATGCAAAGATCTAGATGCAAAATCATTTGACATCCTATTTTTTTCACAGGTTTTTTATACAGTAAACGTATCAAATTTAATAAAGTATCTCACTGTCAAACAGTATCTTACAGTTGACCTACAGGCTGAGGTTCTAAATGGGATTTCTCTACTTCGTTTTCTGAAAGGAATTAAAAAGTTCGCTACTCAGTGGCTAGAGGTGAATGTTGAACTGTGTAGACCCAGCTGACCTTGAATGTAGATTTTTTTGCTTCAGCTTCCTGAATGCATGGATCATAGGCATGTACCACCTCACCAGTTTGAATAAAATTACTGTGAAACTTTCATTTGCTTTGCTCTATTAGACTAAAAATGGAAGCTGTTATGTTTTCTAATATTAGATGAAAATTTAAAATATTTGTCTCTTTTCTAGGCATACCTTTTTTAAAAATCAGGTTATAAAAGAACTCGTACTTTATTACAATTAAAATTTAAGGTTTTATATGTAAGAAATTAAAGTGATTTTTTTCTTTCTATTTCAAGTAAGAATTGCATTTGTAAGACTGGTTTAAACAAAAATATGCCCATGTCACTTTTGGACAGCCTGTCAGTACAAAGTGGGAGTGGCTCGCGGGTTTTCTGTAGCTGATGTGTGGAAAAGCTGTGTAGGGTCCCTTTTGTACCATTGTCCCAAGCACCCTGCTTTAGGAGATGCAGCAGAAAATGTGCTGTTCCTCACATCACGGGGAGTGCCAGCTGCCGGCCAGCAGTGAATCCGCCCCAGCCCATGGGGACCTGCCCAAGATGTGCATTCTGGGGACCCACGCTGGGACGGCAGCCTGCTGCCTACACCCGTGCACTTTGGTGCTTAGAACGGAGGCCATGTGCACTTGTGCCCTGCATCGTCTCCACACCCTGGCTCACCTGGTGCCAGGTACCACAGCTGTGCCCACCAGGGAGATGCCTCTGCCCCCCACAGCCCTTTGTGAAGCTGGATGTAGACAGCACTGGGCAAGAGGGGAATTCCTGTTCATTCCACCAGAGAACAGCTCACGGTAATTTAACCGTCTTCCAAGTTTACCCAGGCCACGTGTACTTCCTGTGAGCCCACAGTGTCTGTCATCCAACTCAGCTTAGCCTGACCCTGAGTCCACAGCCACTTTGCTGCCCAACCAGAAAGCAAGAGGAGAGGCACTTACATTCAATTATGCTTAAATATTAAAATTATAAAAAATATGATTATGTGCCCGGGCAAGGAAGGTGTCTTTAAGTTTAAGCTTCATTTGTATCACAATCTATTTTATATATTAGAATAGAAACTACACACTAAAAAAAATTTTTTTTTTTGGTAACAGAGATTGAACTTGGGTCCTTGCACTTACAAGGCAGGCCACCGAACCACTGAGCTAAATCCCCGGCCTAACACACTAAATTTTTAAAAATTTTCTCCAAATATATGTTACAGGAGTATGTATGGGAGAGGGTGGAGTTGTGGGAAGGGAGTTTTGTAAGGAAGGATTCAGAAACCTTTTATATCTGCCAAGTAAGCCAATGTGACCTGCGAGTTCAAATATGAGTACATGTTCAGTTTTCCTCGTTGGCAGTTAATTATTCCCTTATGGCTATCAGTAAACCTTTATGGACTTGCAGAGGAATGATTCTTCTGTTCAGTGTCCTAGATTTCATGGAGGGATGTTTTACCTTAAATATCCAGGGCATCTTGCTGACCCTTACTAGCAACTGATGCATGGGTTGTCCAAAAGGAATTGAGCTGTCTTTATACTGGCAAATGGTCTATTATAGGAAAGCACAAGCATATTATCAAATTTAAAGGCACACAACCCACTCCAGGTTCATCAGCAAATGAGAGTAAAAAGCCTCTAAGGGCTACAAATTTTACTAATGTCTCTTTGCCTCGCCTCTGGAATCATGTCTGTTCCACTTGGTACCAGGTGCTGCAAGAGAAACAGTGTCAGCTGTAAACCCTCATTTCTATGTGCTGGAGGTCCCAAAGAAACATTAAGAGAATCTGAATAAGTGGAACAGTTAGAATCTAAATCCTTTGTTGGGACTTGTGGGAAGATGGCAGAGTGGTGAGTAGCAGAGAAACAGCATCTCTGAGATTTGGTGTCCAGATGCTGGAATATAGCAACATGAAAGAGAGATGGAGTGAAGTGGGTGTCTGGGTCCCAGCAACGATCCAAAGCAAAAGAGGGACCCCAGAAAAGAAGACGGAGGTGGTAAGTGATGCTTCCTCCCTGAGCCCCAGCTCACAGCATGGGAGGGGCAGCCCAAACCTGCAGACACGTGACTGCTGGTGACCTCAGTAGCCTCCATGAAGAAATACACCAGTGGAGTGGAGTAGTGGACACTCCAGACTGCAGTGGCTGGTGTCTCTGATTCCGATATCACCCAGGAGAGGACAATTGGCTGGTCACCATTTCGGAAAGTCCTTAATAGACTGAGAACTCTGAGCAATGGCACATTGGCTCCTAGTGACTCCCAGTGTCAGGGTGAGATATAGACAAGCTCAAGTGGGCAGGGAGGTCAGGGAGTTTATGGGCTGAAGAACTCAGATAGCAGCCTCAGCCGGAAACCAGAAGCGTCCTGAACTTCAGTGGAAATAAAGACAAAGGCTTGCTGGGATTGTCCACTACCCCACTTAATTCCACTGCTGGCTAGCTGAGATCAGTCAACACACACCTGGGCTTTATCTACCCCTGTCTACCAGTGACACCAGTGAACATTGTTTTCTTCCTTTCTTTGCCCCCGCCACTTTTCTTGTTTATTCATGCTTGTATAGAGTATGAACATAATTTCTGTTTTTTTGTTGTTTTGTACTTTTATTGTTTCTATTTCTTCTTTCTTTCCTTCCTGTCATCTTCACCAGTTTCCCAAAGCTTATATAATCCAGCCTTGCTTTTAATTTTTCTCTTCTGTTTCTTTTTTTCCCTAAGCCTTTGAAATTTTCTCTCCTGAGGATAAAAATCACCATATTGAGAGGATATTTAATCTATGAAATTTTCTGGTTTCTTTTAGATTTTTCCAAACTCCCTAATGAACATAGACACAAAAATCCTCAATAAGATACTGGCAAACTGAATACAGCAAATCATCAAGAAGTTTATACATCATGACCAGGTAGAATTTATCTCAGGAATGGGAGGATGGTTCAACATAAGCAAATTAATAAGTGTGATACACCATATGAACAGAGCCAAGGACAGAAGCCACATGACCATTTCAATAGGCACAGAAAAAGCATTTGACGATGTTCAACACCCATTCGTTGTAAATCCTACATAAAATTGGAATAAATGATCTTTATCTCAATTTAATAAAAGCCACCTATGGCAAACCAACAGCCAACATCATACTAAATGATCAAAAGGCTGAAAGCTTTTACTGTCAAATCAGGGACAAAACAGAGAAATCCACGTCACTATTCCTGTTCAGTATAGTTCTTAAAATATTAGCCAGAGGAATTATACAAGAAAAAGAAAAGGAATAAGAATAGGCAAGGAAGAAATTAAATTATTTGTACATGACATAGTATTCTACATAAAGACCCCAAAACCTCCATCAAGAGACTTCAAGACTTAACCAAATTTAGTAGCATAGCTGGTTACAAAATCAGTGCTCAAAAATCAATAGCATTCCTGTACACAAATAAATTCACTGAGAGAGAAAGTAGAGAATCAGCACCTTTAACAGTAACATCCAAAAAAAATAAAATACCTAGGAATCAATCTAATGAAGTAAGAGACCTCTACATTGAAAACTACAGTGCTCTGAAAAAAAAAAAAAAAGAGATCAAAGAGGATATCAGAAAATGGAAAGACATCCCTTGTTCTTGGCCAGGAAGATACTTCCAAAGTTATACAGATTTAATGCAATCCCAATCGAAATACAAATAGTGTACCACACAGAATTAGAGAAAACTCCTAAAGTTCACTTTGAATCAGAAGAGATGTAGAATAGCAAAAGCAATTCTAGGCGGTAAAGGTAAGGCATCAAGCAGCATCATAATCCCTAACCTGTTACAGAGAACTTCTGTAAATAATCTAAAAACCCACAAAATGTTAGAAAATGTAAAATCACTTCTACTGTCTCTAACAATAATTTGCTTTGTTTAGTTAAAAATTAACAGACACCAGAGGCATTGACCATGAAACGGGACATCTGGCCTCATCCCTGACCTTCAACACCCACTTCCTGTGCACTGGAATAGATAGTTAGATGAATCTTAAGGTAAACTCCCCAACTACAAGGAACTGTCACGTCTGGGTTAAAGTTAACTGTCTTGTTACTGTCATTTGTACGTGGGCAATAGGAACTGAGGAAATGAAGTGTAACCACCTGAATGAGTTCAAGGCTGTAAAACCCTATAAAAGGGGAGCTGCAAGGCAATCGGTCATCACTCGCTGGCACTGCTCTTAGTGCAGTCAGCCTTTTGTCGACAAAATAAACTTTTTATTATTTTGCTTCCATTCTGCTTCTCTGTATGTGTCATTTACCAGTTCCTTCTGCAAAGACTTGAAATTATACTGCAAAACTTCCATGATAAACAGCAAGGTACTGGCAAAATAAATAATAAATAAATAAATAAACACCGGACTTGAGGAACAGTGGCACTGATTAGAAGACACAGAAGACAGAAAACTCCAAACACCCTCAGCCATCTTATCTTCGACAAAGGGGCCACCTTCACTGGAAGAAAGCTAGCTTCTTTAATGAATGGTGCTGGAAAAAATGGCTTTCCACATGCTGACAATTCAAAATAGACCCATGTCTCTCACCACGCACTAAACTAAAATTGAAATGGATCAAAGACCTAAATATTAAAACAGAAACACTAAATCTGCTGGAAGAGAGAATAGGTATAACTCTTGAAGACATAGGTGTAGGCAAAGATTTGATGAACAAAATCCAGGAACTATCTCATCTTATTAAAAACCTTTTGCCCAGCTAAAGAAACCACAAATGGCCAGGTGTGGTGGCGCATGCCTTTAATCCCAGCACTCGGGAGGCTGAGACAGGAGGATCGCTGTGAGTTCGAGACCAGCCTGGGTTACATAGTGAGTTCCAGGTCAGTCTGAACTACATAGTGAGACCCTGTCTCAAACACACACACACATACACACAAAAAAAGAAACCACAAATGATGAGGAGACAACCCAAACAATGGCAAAAAATGTTGCCAGCTGTTTCTCAGACAAAGGACTAATATCTAGAATATATAAAGAACTAAAAAAAAATAGATCTCCCACAAATTTAAAGACCCAATCCAAAAATGGGCATCTGAAATGAATAGACAAATAGCAAATATATGAAAAAATGTTCAACATTAAAGGTCACTTGAGATAAATATTAAAACAATAGAGATTCCATCTCCAGAAAGAATGGCTAT